GGCAAAATACGCTATCTTAAGCTATTTAAAGTCAGAGACTCCCAGAGCAAAATTTAAAAAAAGTTTTAAAAAGAGAACATTTGAGAATAGAGAGAGAAAAATGGTAGATCAAGAAAAGAGGAAGCAGAAGAAAACTGATATACTAGCAATCATAATACTTAAAAAATAGGATGTGAGGTAAATAATAGCATAGGGGATATAGATCTGCAATAACGAACTGAAATAAACCACAGACAAAAACCATACAGATCTTACAATCATTTATGTTCCTAGGAAACAGCATTAACATAAATAAAGTATAAAATTTATAGAAGTGAAGGTATATTTTTAGAGATTTTGTTAGAGATTTTAACACACTCTATTCAAAAAATGGAAGAACAGAAAATTATAAACCATGAGTAATGCAATAAATAAGAGTGAATTTTATGCATACATATATGCATTTGTAAATTACACACACTTAGAAAAAGAAAGAGAGGCTGAGAAAGGAAGAGATGCAATCCTACATGGACAATCCTGAATTTGTGCAATGTTATGCCAACTGAATCAGTACATATCAGAATTGTGTGCTGGATTTATAGGTTCTGTAGTACCGTTACCACTATTGCTTCAGTTGCCATGGAACTGTGCAAAAATGAAGACATGGTTTCAGTATGCAGAAAATTCAGTTAACATAGCACCATACACCCCATATTACACAAATGCGCGTGCGCACACACACACACACACCCTACATGCACAAAGATATACATACTATGAGAAGGGTGCAAATCAGGGAATGAGCCTCAAAAAATCTCAAAGATTCAATTTGATACAGACCATAATCTCTAAGGTCTTCCCAAGAGATGCGGAAGAGAATACATATCCCCATGTACTACTCTATCAGGGTACTTAAAAGATGCAATTTTACAGAATTTTTTATTTAAATGTGCTCTCTTATCATCTGTTAATTTGAATTTTAAATGCATGAATGTACTCTCATTTCATTATGTTTTAAATTACTGGAAAATTCTAGCATGGTATTGGGATAGTATGATATAATATGGTATAATAATGAGTATGATTCATTAACATTATAGGCTTTACTACACGGGAAAACTAGCTTTGCAAGTTATGAACATATCTACTTTATTCAGTTATATTTTCATGGTTTTAATTTCATATTTAAGCAATTTTAATATGGGCTGCTTCCAAAAGTGTCAAAGGAATGACTATTTTTAAAATTTTATAATCCTAAAATGTTTGAAGATATATTTTCAAAACATTGAAATATGAAATGAAGAGATAAAAAGGATTTATATAGATACTTTTTCATTAACTTAGCATTCTAAAGATTATAGATATCAATTTTATCAAATAATGCTAACTCTTTAGTGTAAGTAAGCCATGGGCACCGGAGTATCTTTAATCCCATGTAGAGGACCAATAAATGTTAGATTTTATTTGTCAAAATCTGGTAGGTAATACTTAATGAATAGTTGTAAAGTTATTCAGTAGAAATACTTAATATATCTGCCTGTCTATTCACTGGAAACAATACTTAATATAATAAATCTGCTTCTAACTATTTAGTTTAAAAGTCTTTTAGTCACTATTTTTCTTTATTTTGAGAGAGAGAGAAAGGGAGGAAGAGAGGGAGAGAGTTCTCATATACTGGGTCAGTCCCTGAATGCCCACGATGGCTGGGGCTGGGTCAGGCTGAAACCTGGAGCCAGGGAACCCAAATCAGGTTTTCCATGTGAGTTGGCAGACACCCATCTGCTGTTTTTCACCACAGACATTAGCAGAAAGCTGGAATCTGGAGTCAGAGCCAAGATATGAACCCAGACACTCCAATATAGGATACGGTCATCCCAACCAGTGTCTTAACTGATAGGCCAAATGCCCACCTTATACTTGTTTTCGACCAAAGGATAAGCTTCTGCCTCCCTTACTGACATTTAGAAATCACTCTCTAGGTCTCTGCTGGACCTATGATAGTCAGAAGCTATTGTCTATAATGTACAACCAAAGCAACTGGGCAAATGTCTGAGGATGAAGGCTGGGCTGAGTGAAGCCTTGGACATTAGGGCTGCTTGCCAGGATGCAATCAGAGAAGAAAACCACTTGACAGGGTAAATCAAAACAGGAAATATTGATCACCAGGCGGTGCAGATTATCTCATCAATTCCTTTCACCAACCCTGACAAGTTCTCTCTGTTTTAGAGAAATACATTTGGCCCATGGCAGAGCTGATTCTGAACCAAACCACAGCACCCTTCACCATGCCATGCCACTGTGAGATAAACCATTTATCATTCTAACTCATCTCGAGCTGCTCCATAAATGAGAGCAATCAAGTGCATTTCACACCATGACAGCAGTAACGTTGCTGCTGTTGCCGCATCCCTGCCATAGTCCTAATTAAGGAGAGCACTGGGGACAGTGTTACTGAGCTGGGCCACACATTACCCTCTTTTTTTCATATTTCTTATTTTTATTTCAACATTTAAAATATTCACAGGTTGAGTACTATAGTTAATGACATTTCCATGGAAGATGTACCAACAAAGCATACAGGCATTCCACAATGACAGAATAACGTATTTAAGACTGTGTGCATGTTTACCCTAGAGTTTATCTTGAAAAATATGTCTTAAAAAATTTTAAGTGTTTCACTGTATTATTTCCATAAAAATCAAATCGCAATTTAAAGAGATATAAATATTAGTACTTTTTTAAAATTTCAAACTTTTGTAATACTCAGTTTTTTCTATTTTCTCAATAGCTAAGTCAGGATAACATTTTCTTTCATTTTTCCCCTCTAAACTTTGTTTCTAACCATTTTATGTAGAATAGGCTGATCATCACGCCTTCTTGACTAGCTAACGAGGTAGGCAAATTCTTCAGAAGAATTTCTTAGGCATTTATACAGCAAAGGAAGAGAATCAAATTGCATCACGGAGTTTTTATTGTTGTTGTTGTTCTTTAAGTAATTGGTCAGTGCCATTCATACTTTAAAAACCAGTGAGGGGAAACCCCCTGAGAACGCCCTGCTACTGAATATATTAAGGGCAAAGCCTGAATACTGACATCAACTGAATTCACTTGGACATGGCAAAATAAGGAACACCATACTTGAGAATGACCACCTTTCTTGCTGGGAAAAATCTTAGCAAGGGCATACAAAGTTTAAACAGAAAACTCAAGTACTCTATCTTCGCTTTCCTGTACAAGTTAGTCTCTTCTTTTAACCTAGCTCTCTCCCTTTCCTACAGAGATTATGAATTTTGATATACTGCATATCCAATAGTGTATTTACATGAGCTTAGCAGTTAACTTACGCAACTGTGCCAGAGAAACACTCCTTATATTAAGGTTTTATAATATACTGCTTAACAGCTAGAAAAATCCTAGGAAATAGATTTCAGCACCATCTATTATTAGCAGATTGTTTCAAAATGTATATGCCCCTAAACTCATATAAACCGAGGTATTTTACCCATCATTCCCTCTCCATCCACATCAAAATCAAAATTCCACACATTACCCTCTACACACAGAGAGCTCCACCCTACTATACCGCAGGAGGAAAGTCACATTTGCCTGAACAGAGCTAGAGGTCATAATCCTGGAAGCATTCCACACCTGGGCTCCCCTGGACATTTCAGTGGCCCACTGCTGTGCAACGACTCATACCTAACCTGCACCAGAGTGCCGAGATGTGTGGCCAACGTGAATTCTGCCAGTAGAGGAGCAGCTATGTGTGCACACATACCACTGCATTGGCATCTCCTTGTAAACTGACAGATCAGACAAAACCATTATCTCTAAATTTCTAGGCCTAGCTCTGTGACTTGAACTTTGGCAAGACCTTGCAAATCTTGAAGATAAGTTACTAAGGACTTGTGAATTATAAACTGTCAAGCTTCACAGATAATTTTGGACTTGTAAATTATTATTTTTTTTTTTTTTTTGACAGGCAGAGTGGACAGTGAGAGAGAGAGACAGAGAGAAAGGTCTTCCTTTTGCCGTTGGTTCACCCTCCAATGGCCGCCGCGGCCGGCGCGCTGCGGCCGGCGCACCGCGCTGATCCGATGGCAGGAGCCAGGAGCCAGGTGCTTTTCCTGGTCTCCCATGCGGGGGCAGGGCCCAAGCACCTGGGCCATCCTCCACTGCACTCCCGGGCCACAGCAGAGGGCTGGCCTGGAAGAGGGGCAACCGGGACAGAATCCGGCGCCCCGACCGGGACTAGAACCTGGTGTGCCGGCGCCGCTAGGCTGAGGATTAGCCTAGTGAGCCGCGGCGCCGGCCTGGACTTGTAAATTATTTTTGAAATGCTATGTCCTTGAAAGTGTTGGCATTTTGCATGAAATAACTTCACAGTTACATATGTGTCGCTACTATGAGAATAACAAACTGTCAAATTAGGATTCTAGGATGATGAATTGGATGTACTTGTGTCTCCATCCATCAAAAATGCCAGGCTGACATCAGATCTTATTCATTCATGGAATTCTGTCACTGACCACCTCTCCCTTCTTCTAATCCCCTCTGCTCTTGTCCTCTATGATTTGAACTCTTAGTTGTCCCACTTCTTTATCACCTACCCCATCTTCTGCTTCAGTTCCTCCTTTGCTGCCCCTTCTACCCATCTGTCTGACTATGATTTTCTGGTGTTGTTTCTGCAACCTGTGAGTGACACTGTCTATTCCCAGGTGCCAATTACCCTCAACCCATAAGCCTACCTCAGATCTATGGCTGAGCTTTGGAATCATCCACCCATTCACTGTGCATGAATGACTGAGTTCTTCGCCTGGCCTAGCCCTGGCTGTTGTTGCCATTGTGGGAGATCTCCCTCTCTCTCGCTCCCACTTTCCCTCTCCTTCTGTCACTCTGACTTTCAAAGAAACCAACAAATCAATCTTTTATAAAAGATGGCCATTTCCGCAGCGCACTGCCAGCTGGTCTGGTTCATGCATTGGGTCAGTTGGGCAGGGTGCAGGTGCTGCGCTACTCACCGATGAGGTACATGCCAATCCAGTCCCCAGCATCCACCTCCTCCTTTATGTCCCAGTGGATCACCAGATCCTGAGAGTGTCCTATGGAGTAGTAGGAGCTGCTGACCATGAGAGTGGAGCGACTGTCTGAGGTGACCAGGTCAGTGTCGCTGGTGGAACGGGGGATGGTCACACCATCGTGGGGGCCGCCCCTGATGTCCATGTTATGGAACTGGTCAGGGTTGTAGCTGTAGCGGAGCGGCTCCTTGCACCGGCGTCGGCTCTGGGAGTTTCTGGATGGAGACGCCATGGCAGCCAGGCCTAAAAACCTGTTCTGGTACAGATTCTGCGGAAGAAACAGAGGGAGCAGGTTCAGGCCATCCCGACAACTTGGTCACTATGCTCACAAGAAACCAAAGATGTCCTGGATTAAATGAGCTGTGAGGAACTGTCCTCATGGGCAGACTTGAAACCCAACAGAGAGCATCTTCCTCGTGACAAAGGCTGCGGGGACAATGGCTGTAGCTGTAGATTCACACGGGAACAGCAAGAACAAAGATAGGCACACACCAAGGTGCTCTGTGTTTCCACACTCTGGTGGGGCCTCTCCCAGCTGGCTCTAACCTACCTGATACTAGAAGGAAGGGCTGCAGTGCTTAGAGAATGGCCCTGAAGAGGCGACTATGTGCTGCCCCCACCCAATGCCATCTCTTGAGTTCTGCAATGTCAACTCAACTGGGTCCATTTTCTCTTTCTTAGAGTGAATGATAGTGGTTATTACCCAACACCACAGTGACCCTGCACAGCCCAGTGCTCCAGACATCCCAGAGTTAGAGGTGGTCTCTGCAGGGTGAGACCGTCTTTCTCTTCCATTTACAGACCTTTCACTCTTCAGCATGTCTCTGGGCCATGCGGAATTTCTACTCAAATGTCCTAATAATCGTCAAACACTACAGTTTCAATAAAGTCAATCTCAGAGGACTGTGTCTCCCCTGGAGCCAATGTTATTACAGAAAGTGTTGATCTGATGAGGGGGAAAAAGGCCCCTTTTAACTGTTTACAACACTGAGCGCTCAAAATGAGCTGAGCTGATGCAGAGAAGTAACTTGTTTTGGGAACAAATGACTTGGAAAACCTGGAAGGAAGGCACGTATAGAACTTGTTTTTCTTTTTTTTGACAGGCAGAGTGGACAGTGAGAGAGAGAGACAGAGAGAAAGGTCTTCCTTTGCCGTTGGTTCATCCTCCAATGGCTGCTGCGGCCGGCGCACCGCGCTGATCCGATGGCAGGAGCCAGGTGCTTTTCCTGGTCTCCCATGAGGTGCAGGGCCCAAGCACGTGGGCCATCCTCCACTGCACTCCCGGGCCACAGCAGAGAGCTGGCCTGGAAGAGGGGCAACCGGGACAGAATCCGGCGCCCCGACCGGGACTAGAACCCGGTGTGCCGGCGCCGCTAGGCGGAGGATTAGCCTAGTGAGCCGCGGCGCCGGCCAGAACTTGTTTTTATAAGGGATTCATTCGCAAAAGAAGAAAGGATGATTTTGACTTCATCGAAGTATACAAAAGTGGGATTTAAATATACATTCTGAGGTTTCCTGGCTGTAAAAGTATCTGTTACTCTTACCACTAATAACACTTCTGTTTTTAAGAAGAGAAAATAAAGACTTGAAGTAATGTTCGATCATGTAATTTAGATCCTAGAGACTAACTTAATGTATACATCAATCAGATGTAAGATATTTTCTTTTTGTTTACCAGCCACAAACATTGGAACCCAGCACCAATCTACTCTTTAAATCACACAAGTCTCCTTAGCTTTTACCATCTTCAAGTCCAAAGCACGGTATTGGCCTTTTGAGCTGTGGGCCCTAATGGCCAGGTGGCAGGTCTTTCCATTCACTATTTGTGTCTCCTGTTAGAAATTCCTCTGGCCCTACTGCTGGTAACCATAGAATTACTATGGGCAGAAAAGCCAGGCTTCAGAAGCATCTCTTTCCATTTCCATATGCTTTATAACTTAAAAAAAAAAAAAGAAACAAAAAACAAAAAACAAACAAAAAAAAAAAAAACGGGCTAATGCTATGGCACAGTAGGTTAAGCCTCCATTTTCAGTGTCAGCATCATATATGGACCCTGGTTCATATCTGGGCTGCTCCACTTCCTATCCAGCTCCCTGCTGATGGCCTGGGAAAGCAGTGGAAGATGGCCCAAGTCCTTGGGCCCCTGCACTCACGTGGGAGACCCAGAAGCTCCTGGCTCTTAGTTTCAGATCTGCCCAGCTCCAGCTGTTATAGCCATTGATAGTGAACTAGCAGATGGAAGACTTCTATCTCTGTTTGTCCCTCTCTGTATGAATCTGTCTCTCAAAAAATATATATTAAAATAAAAACACAAAACAAACCAAAAACACTTGTCACTGAAGTCGGCCTTCTCAGAAAGACAGGCAGTGCTTAAGCCCAGGGAAGCGTGGACCACCCATACCCACCCATCACAAGGCCCCATGGCTGTCGTGAGCATTTAGGAAGGATCCCAGCAAACCACCAAGCCTCCAGGAAATCTTTGCGAAATCTCCAAAACAGAAAGGTTGCTGTAATAGCATAAAATTACTTTGATTGACACACACTTTTTGTAGACTAATAAGGACTTAATGCAATATGGAGATAAACTGTGGAAATAAATGAAATAGTCTTCTATACAATTATGAGTTAGGCCGAAACGGATCCAAGCTTGTGCAGCATCTACCTGCTTCCCAACTGTGCGTTCCTGGACAATTTAATCATCCTGCACCTGCATTTGTACATGGGTTGTTATCAGTGCAAATCAAATTCTTAGTGCAGTAAATGCTCCACAGATAAACGTCTACATATTACTGGTGTCACTTCAGGAAGAAAGTATCCCTGAAACATGGGGCCTGGGCAGACAACCAGGCTCAATCACTGGCCAAATGTCTCTTCAGGTCACCTCAGGGTGCTCACACTTAAATTCACTCTACACTGCACCAACAATTTGCTCTAAACCATGAGTCTCCAGGTTTCCTTACAAAATTAAAATTGCAAGTATTATATAGAAAAGTGTTATTTGTAAAAGTGCAGCACCTGCCAACTTTCGTGTGAGAAGCTTCCTTTATCTGTAATGTTTGTGACTGAATAGGATATTTTTGCATTAATGTTGAGGAGATTGAGAGATTTTTAGCTATGTGAGTTTAATCGGGACCTCAAAAAACAGCAGAATGTTTCTCTTTTGTTGAAGATACCGACAGTTCTACAGTTGTATTTTTATTAGAATTGCCTGGAAACCAGGCAACTCTGTTGACACTATCAAATTACACAGTCATCACTGTCTACATTGTGAGAACGAAAGTATAGAAGGAAACATTAGTCAAAGAGGATGCCTGTCAATAATTGATAGATTGGAATAATAGCATTTGCCAGGAATAAGATCAGCAGCCTCAAGGCTGTTCCTTGAAGACCACATTCTCTCATGCGCCCTGTCTTTATACGTATTCTCCCCAGTCACACTGGCATGCAGGATTGATACCTCTGCTTCAAGATTATGGGTGGGCATTTGTCTTAGCAGTTAAATCACTGGTTCCTTGGGGTGCCCACATCACGCATCCAAGTACCTGAGTTCTTCCTGGTTCCACTCCCACTCACAACTGCCTGTTAATGCACAGCTGGGAAGACAGTAGCGACAGCCGGCGTGATCCAATTCTCCCACTCACATGGGAGACCTGGATTGAATTCGCAGCTACTGGCTTCAGCCTCTCAGCCCTGGTCCTTCTGGATATCTGGGGACTGAACCACTATATGGAAATAACCACACACATATTCATTCCCTCTCTCCCTCTCCACCCTGCTTCTCAAACAAAATGTTTTAAAATATTATTCTCTGGCACCTTCTCTACTGCAACCTTTTCTTGCCTCTTTCCCCATTCCCAAGAGAGTGGTCCTTCTTCTCCATGATTCCCAGGAATCCCACCTGCCCCACAGGAACTGGTGCTGGATTGCTGCTCATTGACCAGTCCATCTTCCCTCCTGTGCTGCAAATGTTCTCTTCCCGATATCCCCTGTGCCTGGCATAATTCCTGGCTTGGATAAAGGCCCTGAACACTTTAATTAATATAGTTTATTATATTCAATTATACCCGTACTTGTTCCAAAAAAGATTTAAGTTAGCTTATATAAATAGATAAACCACCAAAAGACATAATGATTTAGCTGGTACAGAGGAGAGGAAAGATAGGGAATAAAAGCAATGTAAGAAGGAAATTCTCATAAACCTATTCCATCATATACAAATAGGTATTTTTGTTAAACTCACTACAGTGCATATTTTTATTTTTAATTTCCCAGATTTATTGAAGTGTCACTAAAATTACATGATTTTAATGTAGTCAATATGATGAATTGCTATACATATATTTTGTGAAATGATGACCACAATCAACTTAGTTAACACACTATCACCTCACTCAGTTACCTTTCCTCAGTTTTATTTTAGGTTGAAAAGTTTAAGCAAATTTCAACCATTGCTTTTTTTATTTTTTATTTTTATTTTTATTTTATTTGACAAGTAGAGTTATAGACAGTGAGAGAGGCAGAGAGAAAGGTCTTCCTTCTGTTGGTTCACTCCCCAAATGGCCGCTACAGCCGGTGCTGCGCTGATCTGAAGCCAGGAGCCAGGTGCCTCTTCCTGGTATCCCATGCGGGTGCAGGGGCCCAAGCACTTGGGCCATCCTCCACTGCCCTCTCAGGCCACAGCAGAGAGCTGGACTGGAAGAGGAGCAACCAGGACTAGAACCTGGCGCCCATATGGGATGCCAGCGCCGCAGGCGGAGGATTAACCAAGTGAGCCACGGTGCCAGCCCAACTATTGCTTCTTGAATACAGCAGGCAGATAGTTGGTTTCCCAACATGCAGTTCCTTTGTGGTTACATTCTCCCTGGGCATTCACACATGTTCCTAGCATACACTATAGACTCATCAGGCTGGAAGGAGCAATTTAATCATTTTCTCTCCACACGGCTGTGGGAGACAGATGAAGACCTGCGCTATTTTAAATAGCCCTGGAGAAAAGATCACTCTCTTCTTTGACAGTGATTCCAATGTGTTACAACTCTGCAACTCTTCCTAATCTCTAAGGCAAACCTTATCTGAAAAAAGATCCTCTTTCTCTTTCCTCTGTGCAAAGGGGAGGGCGGTAAAAAAGCAGTATGACACTTAAATCCACAAGAATATCAGGCATAGTTTGGTAATGTGATTTTCTAATTATTGGTTGTAGTCAACCAATAATTAGTTAGTTAGTAGCTAATGTTAAGTATGGATTTTTAATTAACCCTTTAAAACATG